TTAAATAAGACATTGCCATTGTGTGTTGAGGTTCAGATGCCCTCTCATTAATAGAAATCAAAGAAATCATCTCACCATTGTATCGTGAACATCTGGGCATGTTTATATTAGGATTAGCTCAAGCTTGTAAATATCAAAGGAGAGAAATGCAATTAAATCCGTATTCATATTTAATTTTAATTGTCAAGTGTGCTGGGTCTCAAAGCCACTTTACTTCTTATATTATAAGCCTCTTCCTGTTAGAAGCATGAAGCCAAACCACTGTAGATCTCTTATGTCTATCACTTATAAAAACTGTATTAGGCATTTTTTATGAACACCTATTGTGAAAGGGCTGGGGTTCTGGAAGTACATAGATTTCTTCCCGTATAAATGTATGCTGCAAGATTGCTGACCATATGGGTAAACAAGAGGCTATTTGTAATGGGAAAAACCTTAATGAATCCTGGAGTCTCATGGTCATATACCACTGTCTTAAAGCCCCAGAAAAACAAAAAAATATCTTTGAAGCATTTACATTTGCATTTCTCTTACTATTTTGAAAGAAATCATGGGGATCTGCCAGCTTTGTTATCTCATTTCTGAACACAACTATTTGAGAGTTCTTCATCCATGCTACGGACTGAATGGGTCCTCTTAAAATTCATGTGTTGAAGTTAATTTTCCATTATCAGAGCATTAAATGGTAATTTTAAAAAAGGTAACTCATTAATGAGGGTAGGTCTTTCATGATGGGATAAATTCCTAAAGGAATTATGAGAACAGAGTTGTCTATTTACATCACATAAGACAAAACAAGAAGACACCTCAGAACCCAGAGGCAGACCTTCTCTAGACACTGAAATGGGTGCTCACTTTCCTTCAGACTCCCTGTCCCTGTAACTATGAAAACTGAGATTTCTATTGTGTATGATTACTTACTTATGATATTTTGTTTCAGTCACCCTAATAGACTAAGTCTACCTTCTAGCTGTATAAGATTTATGTATTCATCTCAACAACTCAAAGTTAATTGTAGGGAATCTATTAGGTTTCTAATTCAGGCCTCTGTTCTCTTCAACAAAGTAAGTCAATTTGAAGAGATGTCCAGTAAAGAGAACTGTGAAAAGAGAGGAACTGGGAATAAGAATCTGTATTGGGTTGGTAGGAAAATGTCCATAAAACAGAGACATTCAGCTGGAGACCTCAACCATCAAAGAAGATGTTCATGAGAAATAGATGGTGAAGCTGTAGGTAAACTAACACTACAGAGAAGAAACCAAGTCTAGAACTCCATTTGGGAATTGCACAAGCTCTCAGTACTATTGTAAGTTTCTTTTGCCCAGAGAAATGTCAATGGCTAGGATCCATGTGTTAAAGACCATGCATAACATATTACATTTGGCAATAAATAATATCACTATTAGTTAATAATTCCATCAATGTCATATAAAAAGGACAGGCTACCCAGCAAACCCTAAGGAAGTTTCAGCTACTCGTGTGCAGCATCGTCTGTTGTCGGAACCAGATCCCTAATTGCTGGTGACCTCATGGTTCAGAAGTAGAAATTGGACTTTTAAAAGTTTCATTTGCTCACAGAAGGTCATTGGAATTCTATAGATCATGCCTTAAAGTGCTTCTGTGACATTTGAAACAATAGTTTACTTAAGGGTGGCTTACACTTAGAATAATTAGAGTTGATTTGATTTATGACTTTTGGGATACTATGGATTTGTCTTTCCATTGAAATTAGGCAGTGGCCAGGATGAGAAACATTATAAAATGATGTTTCTTTTGCTGTTTTGAGCTAGAAGATTAAAGCAGACAAACTATGATGCTGCAAAGTTAGAGAAAGCACTTTAACAGTCTTCCAGATGACTACAAAGCTCAGCAGACACTACACCACAGAAATGCATAGGTAGAGTAGAAGACTCAGAAAACCTGGGAACTGAAGCCTGACTCCTAATTTATACTCCACAGACTATATTATTACAGAAGAATCATAAACGGGAACACAGCAGACTTCTCAAAGAGTGCAGCAGGGCAGTCTGATTGTCAAGCTTACTGCACCATTGAGAACTGGGATTTTCAGATCTTATGGAGAGAAATAAAAAGGTGAATTAATTTGCTCTAGTTTCCTTTGTGCTTCTGAGAACAAAACCCAGTGAGACTGTGGTGCATGTTCAAATTCACAGCCCTTGTTGCACAGATATATAAATCCAAATTTCTTCTCTCAAACCCTGTTTCTCCATATATAACACAAACAGAATATACCTGCTTTAAATGTGGTTATCTGGATTAAGTGAGAAAAGATAACACGAAGCTTGCGGTATGCTATCTTAGTCATAGAGTTTTTGAAATTGTAAGGTTTAGAAAAATTAAATATAAAAACTAATACTCACTCTGTGGCCAGATAAAACCATTTCATTGATATTTTCTCAAAACAGAAGTTGGAAGTTTTCTTTATTCTTCTGTGTTTTATTTTTTCTTCAAACAGTCTTATTCTGCTCAGAATGACCTTGAACTCCATCAATCCCCCAGCCTCAGCCTCCTGAATGCTATTATAACTGTGAACCTCTATATGCCTAGCATGGAGGGTTTTTTCTTCTGTTTTTCACAAATAAGTTATCATTTTTTATGTGTGTGAAAATACATTCTGTTTATATGAAACGAATTTTGAATATAGTAAATTAATTTGAACATAACTTAATGTATATGTGCTTGTGCATGTGGTTTTTTTTTCTAAATAACATATTTATAGTTAGGCAGGAGTGTGGGATCATGGCAGCACTTGGAAGCCTGACACAGGATGTTTCATACTCAGGACACGATGAGTATGATGTTATCTGGGATACAAATTGTGAGTTCCAGGACAATCTGAATAAGATCTTAAAATAAGATCTTAAAAACAAGCAAAACTGGCTTTCACAGACAGATCAGTTTCTCTGAGAACAATCAAAAAAGGCTTTCACAGATAGGTCAGTTTCTCTAAGATATGCATGAACTCTGTCTCTTAAGAAAAAAGTTAATTTAAGGATAACTTATAACTAAGTAAGGAACTAACCAGAAAATACTCCGTAATGTCATTAGTAGAATGAATGGAGATGGGAGGGAAAGAGATGAAATACCCGGAAGTAGTTAAAGAAAAAGAAGGAAGTGACATGAAACTGAATTAAACAGATACAAACAAAACTAAACAAAAATAAACAGAACTAAAGCGCACTCCAAATAAAATTTACAAGGCGCGCACACAGCGGAGACCAAACAGTGTCAGTCTTTATCCTTTCTATTTGTTAATGATCGTGATGAAACCTCTAATCTTCTGTTGGCTTTACCCCAAAGCTAAGGGATATCCCTTATATAAAGAGCCAACTGACAAACTAACACCAAGGGCAAAGCTAGTCTTTCTGAGGAGCTGCTGTGTTACTACTCTGAGAAACAGAACTTTTAATACCCTTTACTTCCTGCAACGGCCTCCAGCGGCTCGGAGGTGTGCCCATCCCTAAACAGTTCCCCCTTTGCCTTTGACTAATTCGTACTTTCTGTCCTCTGTTCAGTATCGTTCCTCAGGTTGGTTTTGTATTTTGTCCTTGTAATGGTTTGATTTAACGGGGTGTTATTTCTAAGTCCCTTTGAAAACAGAAGTCATTATGAATGCAACAAGAAGGAAGACATTTCTCAAACATAAATCCTTTAAATGAGATCTTACATGTTTAATGCACGTAACAGCGAGAGAGACTCTTTATGGGTTTTCTTAAACCTGAATTAAAGTGTTTTACAAACGTTAATGTTTTTAATTTTATTCTTTCGTTCTGTTTAATTTCTTACTCAAGTTCTCTAAATGCTGCCAACACAGTATTCTCTGAATTCTATATTTTTGGGGGGTAATGTAGGGATGGCTGCATTCCATGCTACCTCTTCAACACCAGCCAATATCAGACATTTACTCTCAGCATGAGATTTTGCCGCCTGGCACCACTGCAGGGCAGTTCTCTGCCTTCATTGAGGGCGCACTGCTCCGCCTCACTGGTATTAGTCACCTCTAGTCACTCAGTTTCACACATTCTACACATGAACTCTGAATCCCTTTATAACAGTGGTTCTCAACTTTCTTAATACTGCTATCCTTTAATCCTGTTCCTCATGTTCTGGTGACCCCAAACCATGACATTATATCATTGCTACTTCATAACTGTAATGTCACTAATGTTGTGAATTCTAATGCTTTCAGATGGTTTTAGGTGACCCCTGTGAAAGGGTCATTTGGCACCCAAAGGGGTCATAACACACAGGTTAAGAATGAGTTCTTTATAGCAAATCTCCAGAGACAATAGGGATACAGTGTTAGAATCATTAAAGATTTTTTTTTTGTGGTCTCAAGGGCTCTATTTTAACACCATCATTTTACACATGACCATACCTCTGTCCCTATTATCCTCAGGAGGCCTGGAACACAGCAGGAAACTTACGAACACATGCTAAGACAACAGGAAGATAACCTTTAAACTCCTTTTTAACTTTTTCAACTTTAACTAATTTTCTACACCTGCAAAATGGGAAACTTGTACATAAACCTAAGCTCATTTCACACACATCTCTAGTGGTAACATCTCTAAGCTTCCTTCTTGAGATGAATTTCTAGTCAGTACATGGTTGCTTGGGAGTCTGAAGTTCACAACTATTTACCTTCATAGGATTTAGTTCAATGAACCCAAATACACATAGTTATACTTTCTACTGTTATTCATTCTATCAACTCAGGAATTAAAATAGCACAAAGAAGCCAGTTCAAAACTCATTCTTCACCCTGCTTATACACACACACACACACGTTTTACATATAAAGCTGCCCATTAGCCTTCACTTAAGTGGTACACTTCACTTAAGTGGAAGGCAGCCATCCCCTGGACAAGGCACTTCCCTGGCACTGAAATATCAGGTAGCAGAGTCAGAGGTTCAATGCCATCACCACCCCCAACACCCACTCTCTGTCTCAGTAGATTATAACAGGATGACATTACCTCTGTTGATCCTTATGACCATCCTCCAGATGCCCAGGCCCAAAACGATGCCCGTCAGCAGCCCACACACAATAGCTATCAGTACCCGGACGTTGCAGGAACTCATGGTGAAGTCAAAACAAAGCACCACTATGTGCAAAACAGCTGGCTTCTCCTTAAGTCAAGAAATGTAACCAGAGATGGTTATAAAACATGAAAAGAATTCTTCCCTTTAGTGTTCTGTCTGGCAGGTGTTCTCATATTTTAAGAGTTTTGAAGTTAATTTAGAATAATGCAGTTGGAATCACTGAAGAGAAGGTGTGTTTCTGTGTGCAGTATGCTCATTGTTCACCAATGTAGATCAAGAGACAAGGATTCTCAGAAAAGGAAACTAACTCAGAGCAATAAAGAAGAGGCGGGATTAGCCTTGAGGGTCAAAGGGTGAATACCTAGACAAGAAAAACAGTCAAGGAAGCAGGCAAGCTAGCAGAACCCAAAGAGGAAGTCAGGAAGGCAATGGATCCCTCTGGTTATCTTCAGATAAGTCTGGTGAACTTTGGTTTTAAGAGACTTCAGCAAGTGCTTCAGGATAGTCAAACACCCTCTTGGATAGGGTGTCAGTGTCAACGAGATGATAAACTGCAGTGGCCACATATGATTCTATACTCTTCCTTAAGGAGCCTACATTCTAGCAGCCGCAATTGGCGAGTGAGTCTATTGACTTGGGGAGGATCATAAAACACAATAAAACAGAATTACAACTCATCTATTATAAGTTAAATTATGTGTCCACACTCACGTGTTGGAGTCTTAACCCAAAGCACCCACAGTATGGCCTTGATTAAAGATAAGTTTGATATATAATTGAGTTTAAATGAAGTTAATAGTGTGGGTCTTATTCCAGTATGATTGGTGTCTTTATAAGAGAAAATTTGGGCACCAATGTGCGCAGAGGGACAATATCTGAGGAGACAAAGGGATAATACAACCAGTTACAAAGAAAGGCTACAGAGAAACTCTTGGAGTACAGCCTTCCTTCTGAGTCCTAGGAACCAACTAAGATGACATCTTGATTTAAAACAGTAATTCTACCCTTGTGGGTTGACCGACCCTTTCACAGGGATCGAATATCAGATATCCTGCATATCAGCTATTTCATTCAGAGTACAATTCATAACAGTAGTAAAATTACAGTTATGAAATAGCAATGAAAATTTTTATGGTTGGGGGGGGTCTCTACAACATGAGGAACCGTACAGTCCTGTAATTTAAGCCGCAAGGTTTGTAGTACTTTGTTACAGCAATCTAATCACAAACTGCTGTCTCTCTGAAGTTGCAGCGGTGACTCTGGGAATCCTGCCTTACTTTTCTCTGCCCCTCCTTAGTCTTAAATGAAGGTGCTAACGAGCACTCATGTGATTGAAGCTCTGGTTCTGGTGGATGAATCAGTGGGTGGTTCCTCTGATCACTTAGACCCATGATGATAAAGTACCTTCATGTGTCAGGACTGTCACAGGCAGGAACAAGCCCTCAAACACTCATATTGTCCCAGGGTGAGAAGCCAGGGTATAACTTCTGATAAGACAGATCACAATTGTTAAAGATAACAAAACGTGTTACAACAGAATACTCTTCCATAGTACTAGACATAGATTTAAAAAATAAATTTTACATCCAAACTGATCATCTGTTTACCCCTCAAAATTATGTTATCAGTCCCCACTTCTCAATAATACTTCCTAAAGTACAACTCAGGGGGATATTAACATAAAGTCCTAATTTTGCCTCAATTTAGAGCTTCAAAAAAAAACACATTAATATGTCACAGAATGAAAGAGTTTAAAGACTGCTACAGAAGAAAAATACCCAAATGAATCCATGTTCATTGTCTGTTGTGAATATGTAATATTTATTTATTTTTTATTTTTTTAATTGGATATTTTATTTACAGTTCAGGTGTTAGCCCTTTACCCCATTCCTCCCCCTGCCCAGCCCAGGAACCCCCTATCCCATCACCATTCCTCCTGCTTCTATGAGGATGTGCCTCTACCTACTCCCCCCACTCCCACCTCCCCACCCTCGAATTCCCCCACACATGGGGTCCAGCCTTCATGGGACCAAGGATCTCTTCTCCCACCTATGTCCAACAAGGCCATCCTCCCCTACATATACAGCTAGAGTCATGGCTCCCTCCCTAAGTGCTCCCAGGCTGGTGGTTTAGACCCTGGGGGCTCTACTTGGTTGGTATTGTTGCTCTTCTCATGGGGCCACAAACCCTTTTAGCTCCTACAGTCTTCACTCTAACTCCTCCATTGGGAACCCCATGATCAGTTCAATGGTTAGCTGTGAGCATCTACTTCTGAATATGTCAAACTCTGGCAGTCCTCTAAGGACACAGCTATATCAGGCTCCTGTTGGCACGTACTTCCTGACATCCACATCAGCATCTGCCTTTGGTGACTGCACATGGGATGGATATCCAGGTGGAATGGTCTCCAGATGGCCCCTCCTTCAGTTTCTGTCCCACGCTTTGTCTCCATATTTGCTCCCTTGAGTATTTTGTTATTCCTTCTAAGAAGGATCGAAGTGCCACCACTTGGTCTCCCTTCTTCATGAGCTTCATGTGGTCTGTGAGTTGAATCTTGGATATTTCAAACGTCCAATAATCATTGAGTGAATAGCATGTGTGTTCTTTTGTGATTGGGTTGCCTCACTCAAGATGATATTTTCCAGTTCCATCCATTTACCTAAGAATTTCTCGAATTCATTGTTTTTAATAGCTGAGTAATACTCCATTGTGTAAATGTACCACATTTTTTGTATTCATTCCTCTGTTGAAGGACATTTGGGTTCTTTCCAGCTTCTGGCTATTATAAATAAGGCTGCTATGAACATGGTGGAGCATATGTCCTTGTTATATGTTAGAGCATCTTCTGGGTATATGCCCTGGAGTGATATAGCTGAGTCCTCAGGTAATGCTATGTCCAATTTTCTGAGGAACCACCAGACTGATTTCCAGAGTGGTTGCACCATCTTACAATCTCATCAACAATGGAGGAGTGTTCCTCTTTCTCCACATTCTTGCCAGCATCTTCTATCACCTGAGTTTTTGATCTTAGCCATTCTGACTGGTGTGAGGTGGAATCTCAGGGTTGTTTTGATTTGCATATCCCTGGTGACTAAGGATGCTGAACATTTCTTTAGGTGCTTCTCAGCCATTTGCGTTTCTTCAGTTGAGAATTCTTTGTTAAGCTCTATACCCCATTTTATAATAGGGTTATTTGGTTGTCTGGAGTCTAATTTCTTGAGTTCTTTGTATATATTGGATATTAGCCCTCTATCAGATGTAGGATTGGTAAAGATCTTTTCCCAATTTGTTGGTTGTCGTTTTGTCCTATTGACAGTGTCCTTTGCCTTACAGAAACTTTGCAATTTTATGAAGTCCCATTTGTCAATTCTTGAGAGTAGGGTACATAAAAAATTATTCATGGAAATCCAAAGGATCCAGGTACAGGGAATTTAAAAACCATTATACCTTTTCTGTAGAATGCATATGTTTTCAATTTGTATAACTTACTATATATTATGTTTTCAATGTTAAAAATAGCAATGTTCCATAAGCAATAAACTAGAAAATGAGTTAAACAGGAAACACACCAAACATGGTGCTATCTACATTTCAGATGTTCGCCTCATTCATTTCATAACTCATAGCCTTTGCCAGTGCAGAAACAAGGATGAGGTTAGAGATGACTTGAAGATGAGCCCCGTGGTTAAGGAATATTGAGCAATACTAGGTGTATAGGATGTTCTGGAGCCTCCAGTGTGTCCATATGCATCACACGTTGCTAAGTTCCTAATGTTTCTTAACTACAGATCCTTCTTCCCAGGAAGACTCTCCCAGAGGTGTCATTCTTCAGAATATGATATGGAAACTCTGATTTGTGGGGAAGAGAATGACAATTGCTGAGAAGGATCGTGTATGGTTACCTTACCACGATGATGGTTGTTTGTTTGTTTGTTTGTTTGTTTGTTTTTCCTTGCAAGGTTGCATACATTTTTGAAGGGAAAGAGCCCACCAATGGCTGAACACTAATTTTGGTGGTACTTAGACATTTTCTTCCCCAAGTCAGTGGCTGTACAGGAACCCTGGGATGCTATAATGCTCATAGCTTCACATAACTTTGTCACTTTGGTCTCATTGTTGAATTCATAAGATTTTCCTTATCATTTAAGAAAAATAGAAATTTGTGGTATGGAAAGAATCCTAGGCATAATTCAGATGTTTACATTTATATAAAGATATGAATTGCTATCATTTAAAATATTATATAAACTGTCATTCTTATGGTCTAGATATGATATATCCCTTTCCAAAAGTTTATTTATGGCAAGGTTGGTTCACAGATGGTGGCATTATTTTTGGTAGGTTTGGAAAGCATTAAAACATTAGGAGAAAGTACCTTGCCAGAAGAAGGAGGTCACAGGAATATGTACTCAGAAGCCCCGTCTCGCTTGCTTTTGACTTCTCTCCTTTCTTCCATGAGATAAAAGGACTCCTTGATTACAAATTCTTGCTACCATGATGTTCTCCGAAAACACATGGGACAAAAGAAAACAAAACCACAGAATAAAAGAAACGAAACACAAAACAAAACCACAATCTCCTCCAGAAACTATAAACCAAACCTTATCTTTCCTCCTTTAATTTGCTCGTGTCACAAAGATATTCTCACACATGCTGAAAAGTCAGTAACATAACCACTACTTTTATGGGCACATAGTTGAGAAGTCAAAGGAGAAAAAAGATAAATGGGAAATAATTTGTTTATTAATTTATTCTGCTCAATATACTGTGTATTGTGGTGAACATGTGGATAAAACAATGAGCCAGAGGGAAGAGGTCCCTGTTGTCACACAGCTGCCACTCAGGGAGACTTGGTGGTTTTTTTGTTTATATGGTCACTAATTTGTTTCATGGACCCAAACACGTCACACAAAAACCAGGTCTCCACACTTTAAATAGCCCCAATTGGACCTCTTCTTCCTGTGGATTTTTGCTATAAAGACTTCATTTGAGTAAGAACAAGAACAGTGTTTATCATGCGTGGACAGACACATTGTGATTCAGAGCGGGTATCGGGAATGAGCAGAGTAATGAGAGCATCTATTCAGGGAGATTAGCTTAGGATACCACCCTGAAGCAGGGTAAAGAGGCATTCCTGTGAGGAGGTTGAGTGAGCCATTATGAAATGTCATTGTCAAGTAGGAGAGAGAATCACCCATGTGAGAAGGCAGAGAGGCAGCAAAGGAAGAATAAGGCATCTTTCGGAGACCAAGAATCTCTTCCCAGGTGACCCACTAG